CAGTGGAAGTACCCCCACCCAAACCCTTCTGGGGAGGGAGAGCACAATTTGGAAGCTGCCATGCCTGAAAGTCTCATTCAAGCATGTTTAAAGCCGTTGTTTGTCTACATTAATCACTTCACTGCAAACTGAGCATCCGTGTCTTTTTCTCTGCAGAAGCCCGCTGGAATTTCTGGCTTTCAGCCAGACACATTCAAGAAGTTTCTGGCACTGTATTTGCATGGAACTGTGTGAAATTCAGCTCAAATGAAAATACTTCACCAACTGTACCTGCTGCTTCTCTTTGCCAGAACCATCGTATAATTAAAGAAAGGTGGATTAATTTACTTTAAAAAATAAATTATATTGTTACTGAAAGTAAAATTTTTTTTTAAAACTAAATAGTACATGAAGAAACTCTTTCATTTTAGGGGCTCACCTCTGGATTTGGGTTAGAGGAGTCGTCAGATGCATCCTCCTGCACTCTTCCTCCATTGCCTGGGAAGAACATAAGCCAGTCATTATTCCTCTGCGCAGGCTCTGCTCTCAGTGTGCTTCTGCACAGAGCCAGACTCAAACCTATTCCTGAGGTTGCTTTGAGTCCCTCTGAATGCAGGAGAGACTTACAAAGCTTCAAGGGGAAAGCCTGAGCCACGAGGCTTTTTCATTCTGCCTGGCTTTGACTTTGTTTTACTCCTGGCTGCCGTGGGATGCGTCGTGCTGCCCTGTGCTTAGTTCCCAAAGCACTTAATCGGAGGGATTGCTTTGTTGGATCTGTAGAACCACAGTCCTTTTATCCCCCAATCCTGGATGAAGAGACCTGTGCATTTGGGGAAAGTGGTGTAGAATGTAGCGGGAAACTTTGGTGCCTGTAGCTGGTATTTGCTGCTAAAAATACAAAGGAAGAATTTCTTCCTGCCACACAGAGTTAACTGAGCAGGAAGCATATTCTTTTTAACATGGGGGGATTAGTGTGGGTTTTGTAAAATGAAAGCTAAATTAGCTGCAGCCAAATGTAGAATGTTTTGCAGTTCTGGTACCCTCCAGCACATGGGAAGGGAGAGGACAGCCTGCGCTATTTTAAGGTGTGGAAGAGCACATTTCCAAGAAATTTATCTCACTTCAGTGTCTTGTGTCAGAGGCTGGTCTGTGCTTTGTGCTCCCTGGCCATCTGGATGAACACCCCAGTTGTGTGCTCCAGCCCCAGTCCATCAGGCAGCTCCACTCTGCAGGGTTTGGGAATGTTCACTGGTCACATTTGAGATCAACAATTGCACCCTGTAAATTGGGATGCAGTGGCTGCAGGCTAAATTAACAAATCCCTCCATAGTTAGCAGAAGTGCTTGAAAGAGAAAAAAACCTCATAAGCATTGCCCTGCTCTGCATCATCTTAATCCTGCCTGCTCGAGGGATGCCTAACTCAGCTCATCGGAGTAAATCTGTTCAGGTCTGTGGTTTGCAGCCAGGTGTTTGGGAATACATTTTAACAGAGCTGTGCTCTGTGGAGCCTGTCACACGCAGTGGGTGTTTCTTTCTCGGGCTGCTGGCTGCCTGCTGTGTCACACGGACCCTGCCTGACATCCCCTCGCTCTTCCAGCTTCGGGTCATTACCCGTCCCAGGGAGGAAGCCCTGTAGGGCAGCCAGCTGCCCGTTAGCATTCCTGAGGAGAGAATTTCCCTGAGGAAGCCTGGTGGAAGAGCAGCTGTGCTGGAGAGGGGTTGTGTAGAGGTGAAACACCTCATGTGCTTCTCGTAGATGTGGGAATTTGTGGGGATGGTCTGTCTGGAAGAGGCAGAGTCCCTTCAGCTGCTTTTGCCTCTCAACAAAGACATCTCTGTCAGGGCAGGCAGTTGAAGGGGAGAGACTGAGGGAAGCTGAAACCCTGCTGTGCCCAAGCGGAGCTGAGACAAAGCACAAGCACGGGGAGGGATGGACGAAGGCAGAGCAAAGGCAGTTTTGAAAAACAGCGGAAGCAGGGAGACCTGGGATGGTCGGCAGGAAAACAAGGCTTCAGGGTTGTGTGAGGCATCAGGAAGCCACGGCAGGCAAGGGGATCATACATGAGGGGGTGAGGCCATGTCCCTGCTTTGCTGGGGCACAGCCACCTCACCTGAGGCCGGGGAGAAGTGGTACTCCTGTTGCTGGAAGGAGCAGCTGATCCTTGTGCAGGGAATGCTCCTCTGCGAGCCCGGAGGGGAGCTCAAGGTGGGCATGAGTGGAGCTCCCAGCTTGGCACCTGGTCACTTGAGGCCGGGGGGAAAGTGGTACTTGAGTGTTTCTGGAAGGAGCAGCTGATCCGTGTGCAGGGAATGCTCCTCTGCGAGCCCGGAGGGGAGCTCAAGGTGGGCATGAGTGGAGCTCCCAGCTTGGCACCTGGCACAGATGCTCAGGCTGGCCTGTCGTGGTCCTTGAACCAGGCAGCCCCCACCACCTGTCCTTGTGTCCTGCTGCGCTTCCCAAGGCTCCGTGCACGGCTCAGCTCTCCCAGTTCCTCCAGCGTGGCCTGCTGGAATGGGCCCAGCTGAGCCAGGCGGGGTGGGGAGCCCAACAATGGGGCACAGAGGCACATCTGGGTTGGCATCAATAAGTTATAAAGGCTCGTCAGGAGACGAATGGCGTTACCTCAGCACGGACCAGGGCCAGGCATTAACTTTTCATGATCGGCAGCCAGGGAAGCAGAACGTGCAAGAATGGGGTGGCAGGAGCCCGAGGAGAGGAGGCAGAGGAGCCTGGCTGCCCTCAGGAGAGCTCTGCAGGACCCAGGGGAGCCTGGCTGCCCACAGGAGAGCTCTCCACCACTCCACACTGCCTTCCCCTGAACCGCTCCCACTGCAAAATCCAGCTCCACAGGCTGCACACATCATGCCAACAAGTACACACCGTGCTCAGCCTGGAGCCCCTGGTTGTTCTGATCCTCCTCCTGCATTTAATTTAATGAAAACTAATGGGGGAGACAATTATCCCTGAGGCTGGGCTCAGGAGACGTTTCTAGGAGGGAACTTGGCAGTTTCATGGTGATATTTAATAATACCAGCCTGTAACCCTTAAGAACCAACAGGAATGACTTTTCTGTGCCCCACAATAAAAACACAACGGGCAGCAGGGCAGGAGCCTGCTGCTCTGGGCAGCTGAGCAGGGCCTGGGTAGACAGGGGTGGCCCCAGGGGTCTGGGAGGGCAGGGCTTCCTCATCAGCCTCAGGGGCCATGAAACCAAGTGATGGACAATGCTCACACTATTTTCTGCAAAGCACAGGGGGACGTGATTGCCTGGACCAAACCCCACACTGGGGATAGCTGCACATGGATATCTGTGGTATTACCCTGGAAGCAAACCTGCCCAGGCAGCGCAGGGTGCAAACTCACCCTGCTCCTCTGCTGATGGGCTGTGCAGGCACAATGGTGATTCCCAAAGATTCCCAAACCCAGCAGGCATCCAATGCATTGCCTCCTTGCCTTTCTCCAGGAGCCTCCACAACCACAGGGTGCTCGCTGCTGGAATTCCAGCCCTGACGTGGCTGTGGGTGCCAGTGCCAGGGGGGAGCATTCCCAGGAGCAGCAGAGCTCCAGGATGGCCCCCCAAGCCCACAGCCCACGCCTGAACACTCCCACAAGCAGGGAGAGAGCTCACAGCCAGCCACGTCCTGCCCCAACTAGTCAAAGGCAGAGAACAAGTCCCACACAGCAGCTCCTGGCACTTGCAACCACCCATCCAAAGGCCTAAAATTTCCCAATCTTTCCCCCAGCCTCTGATGCTGCCCATTGGGGAACCAGGTTGGGTTGCCCGGGTTTCTCCATCCCCAGGAGCTCCTGGAGCTGCTTGTTCCTGTGTGGGTGCACACACCCACCCAGCACTGCAGCTCTTGCCCAAGAAGAGGGTCACAGATCTCACTGCAAGCTCAGTATTTATATATTTGAAAGCAACACTCGTGTATTCCCCTCCTTTCTTACGTCCCAGCAGTGCAGGACTGGCAAAGGGAAGGAGCAGCACCCAGCTCCTGGCCCAGAGAGACTCCACCACACTGGTATCCCAACTCCTCCAGCCTCTAACGAGCAAAGCCTGGGGAGCAGTGTACCAAAATTCCCATTTTAGCCCCTAAAACATCCTTCTCTGCCTGCAGCCTGATGGGCTGGGTGTGGGGAGGGCAAGAGTCCAGCCAGAACATCCTCAGCCCAGTGCAGAAAACACTGACCATTTCTAGGGTAAATTTTCAAAATGCTTAAAAAACCAAAAACAATTCCAAGAAACAAACAGGCATCACTAAACCTCACCCAGGTCCTGAACTGCATTCTGAATGGTCCTGAATCCCTCTGGTGTTTTGAATTCCCAGGCTCATTAAGCCCCCCTAAAATGCCACCTCAGCTCTGAATCACCTCACTCCTGCACCCCAAATCTGGGGTTTGGCCCTTGATGAAGGCTGGAAAAAAATACCCAACTCCCACCCTGGGTCTGGCAGCAAACACCAGGAACAAACTGCAGAGCACCGAAATCAAATGTTTATGTTGATATTTATTACAGCAGGGGAGGGGGGAGAAGGAGGGGGAACCGTTTCATTCAAAAAACCATCCCATACCAATGAAGACAATAATTTAGCTATTCATTTTAAAATACATTAAAACCGGTCCTTTCATTTCCTCACATCAGAACAAAAATAAGAAAAAAAAAAGGAAAAAAGCCCCCCACACCTAAACAAGATGTAAAGTGGAAAAGGTAAAAATTTGACCCCTTGGGGAGCCCCTGGGTATGCAATGCAACAAATCTGCATTAATTGGAAAATATTAACCTGACTGTAACTATGAGACTGACACCCTCAGACCCACCCATCCCACCCACCCCTCCCTCCCTCCTGACTTTCTACAGGTAAAGCAGAATGAAAATGCCTAGGAAAAAGAAGGCAAACATTAAAAAAAAATATTATTCGTATTACACACTAAAAAAAAAAGTTGTTTTGTCATCTCATGTCTTGCAGTCAGAATAATAAAAACAAGCCAAATGTCCCCCAAAAACATTTCAATGAAGGGGTGCGGAAAAAAGACATCCCTTTAATAAAACATTATCAACAAATATCGTACACAAACTACAATGTATAATAATTATTTTTTTTTTCCCCTCTCGGTAATTTTCGAACCAGACTACAAGGTAAGAAAAAACACTGAAACAAGATACAATGCTTTCAATAATCCGCACAAAGGTCAAATCCAAGGGAGAGAATATTTTACAGAATATGATATACATGGAGCAGAAATGGGAGCTGGAGAAAAACCAAGACCAAACTACAGGGTAGTGTCATGTACAGAGATCCCAACCCGCCGCCTTGGCTCGTCCCTTCCTCTCCCACCAGAAGGAAGGGCCTTCGATGCTTGCCATTAATTTTTATTTTCTTATTACAGAGCGAGCCTACAGAATAGCAAGGTTACATTTTAACAACAAGAATTCCTTAAAAAATATCTCCATCCAGTTCCAAATCATAGATAAGTGAAATTCTGACAAGAGCACATCTCTAAAGAAAAGAAACCCCCCTGCAAATACCCCCAAAGCAAATAAAACCCCCAGAAAATCCCAAAGTTAGCTGGAGATCACAGTTTCAAAGTCCCAGGTCAGATTAATCCTTTTTTTTCCTTTTGGGTGGATTTAAAAAAAAATTATTTAAAAAAATCTATTTTTGCAGTGAACCAGCTGAAGGATTCTGGGGAAGGGAGGGACAAGAGATTTCTTCTTGTACTCAGAGGAGGGGGAAAGACTAACACAGTGCATGCCACAGTCACAGAGAGCAAGATCACGATTCATTCGAGGATGTGATCCTGGAAGGGGTCACCTGCGTTAACAAGTTTATAACGAGGTGGTGGAGTCTCTTCCCCAAAGCAGATCTTGTTAACTGGAGGAGGAAGCGTTGTGCTGCAAACGAACAAAAAAAAAAAAAAAAAAAAACCCAAAAAAAAAAAGGGAAAAAAAAACCCAAAAACCAAAAAAAAAAAAGGAAAAAAAAAAAGAAAAACAGGCCTTCTGAACGAAAACCACCATTGTAAACTGTCCAGTTTATTTAAAAAAATGACTACAACAGAGACAACATGATTTCATATCTAGACTAGCTTCCTGGTGTCGCACGGCACAAACATACAACAGGTTCGGTTTCTGTCTTTATTTAAAAGAACAAAGCAAAGAGATCGGAGTTGGGTGCTAGAGGCTTCCGTTTGTTTCCAAAAAGAAGTGTCATGTACATATATAAACCCTTCTGCACAAAGAAGGGTCTTGTCATGTCTTGAAATATTTTAAGTTTTGTCCTTCATGTTTTATGGAATAAAAAGTTCAGCCTTTTTATTGCATGAAACTAAACCTGGGGTTTTGGCCCCCGCCACGCGTGTCCCTGCCCATACACCTAGCTTCTTCTTCTTCTTCTTCTTGCATAATTCGTTGAGATCCTCCGAACGGCAGCTGACTCTCTTGATCCTGGAGAGGAGGAGGGGGAGGGAAATCACACACTCATCGTCATGCTGGGGGAATACTGCAAGAGAGACAGAGCCACGGTGAGAAACCAGGTGGGTCAGAGCCCTGGATGTCGACGAGAGGGATGCAAAAGGAGGCTGGTGACAACTACCCTGCAACCTAATTGGATGTAATAAACCAGGAAGAGAGGATATGCTGGAGACTCCCATTTATCAGGGCCTAATCTGTGCTGTAACTCGCTTTTCCAGGAAGAAAATCAGCAGAACAGTATGGGGTGAGATGCAATTTGAAACAAATAATTAACATGCACATGTGTATATGCTGCTAATAGAGGGAGAAGAGGAGGGATGTCACCCACGGAGCCTCCAATTGGCCAGGCCAGCACAGCCACCTCTGCTCCAGCTCCTCTCCACCTGTGCACCCCATCCCACCACAGACCCCAAGCTTCCACCCACTGCCTCATTTCCTCCTGCCCACTTTCCTGCCCTGCAGCAGCTCCCACATGGCACAACCCAACTCCAAAAGGCAGCCACTGTGCCAAGGCCACCATCCCAGTGCTGGGAGTGTCCCCCCATCCCCAGGCAGGCACTCACTCACTCACTCACTCACATTGTCATTTTGGAAGGAATGGAGAAAGTTGCCTCCCAGCTCCCCGTCGTCTCTTGGAGTGCCCGGGGGATTGCTAATGCCACTTATGTTGTTTGGAGAATTCTGTGGGAGATGGGAGGTGGTGAGCAGGTCCCCACAGCCCCCCAGAATGCCACAGGGGCAGGATGATGCTGTGGGACAGGGCACAGCCCTGCCCTCCCCAGTCACATTCCCCGTGTCCCCATCCATCAGGGTCACAGCACCACCCCAGTGCTGAGGGCAGAGCCCACACACCCACCCTGCAACCAACCCCACTTACTTTTGGAAGTCCATCTATGTCTCCTGACCCTGCAGAGAGGGGAGAGAAAGGAGAAGAGCCTTACTGGGCCTGCAGCCATGGCCCTGTGGCTCCCACAGCCCCACTGACTTCCACCCAAAGGCTCTGCTTTGAGCGCTGGTGCCAGCTGGGGGCTGACCCCAGGACGGGAACAGGCACTGGGATGCTCTGCCAGTGTCCCCAGGGAATGGAGGACCAGCAAGGCTCACCTAATGATCCGTTCATGTGGTGGGGCTCCATCCCGCCCATGCCGCCCATGGGGCCGTCAGAGCCGGGGCCCATCGGGAACTGCGCAAGAAAAAGGTGACAAAACCAAAATCAGCCACGAAACAACCCCAAGCAGCTGCCACGGTGGCTCCTGAGGAATGTCCCTGCCCCAGCCATCCCCAGCAGGGCAAGGAGGGATGTCTCTGATACTGCAGAATCACTGAATTATTGAGGCTGCAAAAGTCCTTTGGGATCAACAAGTCCAACAGTGAACTCAGCACCCTGACTAAACCATCCCCTGAAGTGCCAGATCCACACATTTCTTGGACACTTCCAGGGATGGTGACTCCACTGCCCTGGGCAGCACATTCCAATGCTTGGCAACCCCTTCAATGACAAAAAGTTTCTGAATATCCAATCTGAACATTCCCTGGCACAACCTGAGGCTTTATCACCCCCAAGGCTGTGGGGCTCATGGTCCTCTGGATTCACCTATAAAATTTGGCTGGATGGTAACCCAGAGCTGCAGCACAGCATTCCAACCAGCATTCCCCAGGGTTTAAGGTTGCCCATATCCAACAAAACCCAGCACCTTGGCCGGAGCAGCAGGACTGCTGCTCTCTTAATAAGCATAAAAAATTAACAAAGTCGCCCAAGAGTTAATCGCTTTTTGATGGTTTGTTTTATTTCTGTTTTGTAACAAATGGCTGAAATCAATTAAACTGCTTTACTCTCAACTGATGAAGTTAATTATGATTTGTTATGGTATCTGATATGTAAATTATTAGAAAGCAGACTTACATTCGATCGACTGCCTGCGGGCGGTACTGGATTAATCATTGTGTAGATGTTGTCACTTGAATTTGTTGAATCTGTGGAACAGTGAAGCCCAGTAAGTCGGGTGATTAATTCATTTCTTAATTAAAACAAACTCATGCCACTTGAACTCATTCTTTTGTATTTTATCACCCAAAATTCCCTCTAACTACCACCATTTTCTGGTTAATTTGTATTTAATGAAGATCCACAAAGTTTTTAATCACAGAAATTCAACTGTGAAAAATAATTCAACTACTGGCTGGGAAGGGTGGGGAGGTAATTCCTCACCTTCTTGAGCCCCACAGCATCAAAACCCACAGGGGGATGGAGGAACATTCCCAAATGCAACCCCAAAGTCAAGAAGCCCATGCTACTCACTTCCCAGAAAGCCAAAAGCCACAAAAATTGGTCATTACCAACAGGGCAGGGATGGCCCTGGAGAGAGAGGGGTCTCAGAGGGCTCGTACCTGCAGGACTGGGCATGATGGGTGTCCCTGGAGGGCCACCGCCGCCGGGCGGACCCTGCGGAAACAACGCCGGTGTCAGACGTGCAAACATGAGCACTGCCCCCCTCTCCATGTTCTCAAACACCTCCCAAACCCCCAACCCCAGCCCAGTGCCACCTCCCATGGCACTGACTCCCCCCAAACCACAGGAACTCAAGATGAAAGAGCAGGGGCAGGACTCACCACGTATGTACCAGGCGATGAAGAAGAGTATGGGATCTGCAGGGACAAGAGAGACAGGTTCAGCCATGGGCTGGATCCCAGCTAAGACCCCCTGTGCCCCTTCAGCCTGGCCAGGATGGGAGTCCCAGCAGCCTAAGGAAGAGGCTGGGGAACCCCCACTCATTAGCTAATGGGGAATGATCCCATTTGCAGGAGCCTTCCCAAGCAACCCAAGGTACTCACTGAGTTAGCACTGCTGGGGTTCGGCCACGGTCTGCCAGCACCCGGCCCCCTGGGGACAAAATTAAAACGGGAAAAAAATAAATGCTGTGTTTTTCTGTCAGTCCCGAGCCAGTGGTGAAACCTCCCAGTGTGGGGATTGCCTTACATGTTAATTCCAGGCATGCCAGGGCCTAGGGAGTTGGGTGGAGGTCTCATGCCGCTGCCGTAGTTCTGCAACGATAACCAAGGGTCAGTCTACCGTAACGGGCAGGGACACCAGAGAGGCAAGAGAAAGGGGGGGAAAAAGCCAATAAACACACAAAAAACAAGCGGGTCTGTGTGCAAAAATGAGCTTAAAAAAAAATTAATGACGACGAACATAAGAGGCAATTGTGTTTATAAAAAAAACCCAGGCAGCTGAATATGGATGGGAGCCAGACTGAGCCCCAAAGTTCCCCCTCCCTGCTCTCTGTGGAGGGAAAACATCCCCCTCCCAGCTCCACAATTCTGTTCACAGCCCCCAGCGCCAGCAACAGCCTTTTGGATTTTTCCCTTTGTGCAGGAGAAAACAGGGGCAGGAGGAGGAGAAAAGGCACCACTTGGAAGGTTCCTGCTGCAGTGTAAGGATGAGGAAAGGCTGCATGAGCTCTCCCCGAGATGGAGCACTCCTTGCTCCCTGGATGACTGCTGGAGTAGGGAACACCAAGCCAGGCTTGTTTTTCTGCTGCTCCCCAGCTCTGTGCTCCATCCCCCGGGGCAGATCTGCAGCCGTGGGGAGCGGGCGAGGGCAGGCAGCCCCCTGGGCCCCCTCTCCTGCCTTATTCCTCCCTGGCTTAGCCTCCAGCTGGGACTGGGAGCCTCAGATCTGCATCCCTCATCTCCTAAAACCAGCTCTAGTACAAAGCCGAGCCCAAGGCAGTGGAGGAAGAGGAATCCCCCGAATGCTGTGCTCCATTTGGTCTGTGCTTTGCTCCGTGTGCCCTCCAGGCGACGTGCAGCCAGATTTAGGTCGCGCCGCCACTCTTCCCCTCCCACCTCCCTCTCTTCTGTAATGCATCTTTTTGGACTGTGTTTCTGCCATTTAAAGAAAAAAATGCTACAGCAGGAGGAGGCCACTTCCTACACCACAGCCCCTTGGAGTTCTCCAAACTGGATTTTAAGTACAATACTTTAGTGTTGTCAATTTTTACCTGGATGTACGGATGCACCAGTGCACAGTGCACTGCTGAGGGCATCACCAAAGTTTGTTTTGAAGAGGCAGAAAAGGGTTTTCCCCAAACAAATTACCAGCAAGTCCTTAATTGATAGAAATTTCAGCCATTTACACTGAATAGCAGCATCAAACCCCTTGTTTCAAAAAGAAAAAAAAAAAAAGGGCTCAGCGTTTTTAATTGGAGCTGAAAGGCTGGAAAACGAAGCCAGCTGAAAGATGCTCAGGGAGAGTGAGGAGGGAACACAGCTGTGCTGAGCGACCTGGGCAAGGCACCACCAAAACCCAGGGAGCTACAAACCCTCTTCAGCTACAAACCCTCTTCATATTGGTGCTGGCAAACCCCGTCCTGGCTGCTGCAGAGCTACAAATGGGACTCTTAAAGGGAAAAAGGCAGCGGCAATCAGCTGAAAGGGATGATTCATCACTGCTGTGTAATAACGAGCTGCTGTCAGGACTCCAGGATGTCCTGGCTGGATGTTCTGAAGCCCTCTGGAATCGTTTGAGAAGTATTTAGGAAGGTCCCAATACAAAGCTAAAAGGAAAAACAAGCCCAGGGCACACAAGGCGTGAGGGGCTGCTGGGTCTGGGTGGGTATTTTTGGTGTCTGCCTGCGCAGGCGCCGATTCCTGGATGGCTGCAGGGAGGCAGCGCCTGCGGGTGCCAGATTGGGAAGCCCAGCGCTCCTCCAGGGAAAGGCTGCCTCTTAAAAAACCTCTCCCTAACGTACATACACAGGGAACGGCGGAGTCAAAAATAAAGCTCTGAACATTTCACAACTCCTGCCGGCTCCCAGAGCCGCCGCCATCCCACGCGGCGCTCAGGCGCGCTCGCCGCTTCCAAGTTTCGCGGCGAGCTCTGGAAGTGGGAAGCAGCCTCCCCCGGGCAAGCCGCCGCCGCTCGCCTTGGCGCAGGCCACGCTTGCAAATGCCTTTGTTTTTTTTTTTTTTTCCCTTCTTTTTGGGTGTAATCCTCCAGGAAAGGAGGATTTCAAGCACAGCGGCAGCGCTATGGGAGGGTTTGCCTGTGAAACGATTCTCGCGCGGGTTTTTCGTCCCCTGCCCTAGGATGGATCTGGGCATCTGTGGACACGGCTGAGCACCCCCGAGCATCATCCTCAGGTTGGTGCTAAAGACATGACACAACTCCCTCTTTACACAACATTCACTTATCTCAACAGTCTCCAGGGGAAAAACAAAACACAACTCCAGCGCGCCCGCTCATCTCCTGACAGACTCTGATCCTCGCACTACAAACTCCACGTAGGCGACGATGCAGAGAGGATAAACCTCCAACCAAAATATGGTAATCTGGTTTTGAAGTCTCGTAGAAGGAACAAACAGGAGTGAGTCAACAACAAGCCACTCCATAAAGTGAATCAACGAAACGACAGCATATATTAACCCAGATCTGCTTAATTTCAAGTTTACTCCCCTTTCCTGAAATAGAGAGCTCAAACAGGCAGAAGGAAGGGCAGGTGGAGGGGAACCTCGCAGGGGAAAGCCTTATTCCCTTTGCTGAAGGGATCTTTGCCATTTCTTTTTATTTATTAATTTCAAATTGCAAGGCTCCCTCCCCTTTCCTGCAGTTAGGGCTGTAACTGTTTCCCAGGCAGGCAGTGTAATGCACTCAAAGGCTGCTCCGGCGCGCAGCTAAGTGCCATCCCCTCTGACAGAAGGGCAGGAGGGAGGCTCTAATACCCTTAATGAGCTCTGAAGACCTCACTCCTGTTAAAAGGAGGGATTTCCAGATGCAAGACTAATGTAAAACACATTAACACTAATGGGGGGACAGGGCGTGGGGGGAACTCCCGAGCCCCAGGAGGTTGTGGGATGTGCTTTGGCACCGGGCTTACCTGCGGACCAGGACCCATGGGGCCCATCCCTCGCGGAGGATTCATCCTCTGCATGGGGCCGCCCATGTTGGGGTGCCCTGTTGGCAGGAAAGCAGGGGTGTTACACGGCGCCACAGCCACTCTGGCATCCCGAATTAACAGCTAATTAAGAACGTGACCCTCCTCTGCTGGGCTTACCTTGCTGTCGCGTGGGATCCATGGAATTGGGCAGCAATGGCTGTGTACCGGGAACAGCACCCGGGGGCTGTGAAAGCAAGGGAGAAAGATTAAAAAAACAAATCCTGCATCCCCCTGCATCCCACACCCCATCTTTGCCTCCCTCATCCTTCTGCAAACCCTCTCTAAACCCCAAACAAGGTGTTTCCCCCTCCCCTCATGCCAAATGCTGCTGTATTTTAGGAAAGCAGGGGAAAACCCGGGCTGAGCGGAGCAGCGGTGTCAAATCCAGCAGGGAAAGGTGACACACAGCACCAGGGCCAAACCAGGCAGTGATTCACTGGCCGTGGCAGGGAGATGCTCCATGTGCAGCAGAGCAAGGCCCCCTCCCCAAACTCACATTCCATGCAGGCAATGATGCTATTTAAGCTTCAAAGGCTACTCCAAACAGATAAAGGGGAAGAAAAATGCAGATACTGTCTGCCTGAGGGAAACAAACTGTAAACAGCTTTGCTACGCTGATGCCAGCACTGAGGATCCCCGTGTTGGAGCACAGCACAGGCCCTGGGTGCACATGGCTGTGCCGAGGCAAAATCAGCCCAATCCCAAGTTTTTTGCAGGCTGGAAGCTGGCAGCAGGAGGAAGATAAACCAGGAGGGTTGCAGAGGTGGATATTTACACTTCTGCTGCCCGACCTTCCTGCCTGCCTATTTATTCCTCTTGTCCCTCAGGATGTGACCATAACCTCGCTGAGCTCTGCTTAGGTACAAACATGTGTTTTTTATGTGGTGTTTGGGGGAAAAAAATGAAATCCTTCCAATTAACTTTACCCACTCCTGGATGCTTGATCCTGCTGTGGGAACAGCCTCCTCAAACCAGTCCCCCCTGCCTCTCCTGCCTGCCCAGCTCACTGTGCTCACCTGCAGCAGAGCTTGGGATGAGCCAAGAACCACTGCAGGATGGGGTCCTGTTAAAACTGACCCATGAGGAGGTGCAGTGAATTAATACCTCGTTAGATCATCCATCAGTGCCCTGGGTGGAAGGCTCTTCCAGCCATGGAGGTCCTCCATTAGCCCCTTCTGGGTTTTTCTCAGCTACATCTCAGCTGTCTCAGCACCAGTTAGCAAAGATTCAAGTCTCAAATCCAGCAAGCACAAACGCAGAGCAAGCTGGTCCATCCTACTTCCTGACTATCCTGCTCTTTCTGCTAATTAGGCCTACAGAAGAATCACGCTGATAGCCAAAAAACGAACTCCCAAGATAATTTTTGAACAGACACCATTGCTGCTCAAAGGAATTACGGGTTTCCTTTAATTTTCCTTTAGTGACAAGTTTGGTCATTACCCTATGGATCTGCATGGCATCATTGGCAAGGAGATGAATTCCTTAACCAAAGGCCACGCATGCTCCCAGGCAGGGCGTGGGGTGGAAGCCTCTGTCTGCAAGGCCAGAAAACAAACTGCCCTTGTATAAGCTGGGATAAGAGGATAAACCCAACCCAAAAAATTCAGCAGTGACCTGCCCTGCTTGACCCCGCCGCTGATCTAAACACTCGGTCAGCCCAGCAGCAGGATTATCTCCATCACTTTAATTTTCTGCGATTGCAGGGAAAATCCAGGCGGGCAGCGAGCACGCATCATGGCACAGCCCTGCTGGGAACACCAGTGCTGGAAAGCAGCACATTCCCCACTGCTGTTTCTATCCTGGATAGGCCCAAACCTCACACTAAAATTAAACCATCACCGTTAAGTGACACCTGATGATCCAGCACTAGGAAAAAAAAGCGTGACCAAGGAGGTGATGCTTGCCACACCAACCCAAGGAGCAGCTGCAGGACACCTGGCCCTCATCCCCCTTCCCAAATAACAGCTATCCCTGGGAAATGCAGAATCCTGGGAGAACAGTACCTGGTTGCCCATCCTGATGGGGGGCCGGGGACCTCCGGCGTAGCGCGGCGACATGAACGGCTGCAGGGACAGAAAAAGGGGTCAGGGCTGAGCCTGGGGAGCAGCACACTCCCCACGCACGCTGGTTAACCTGTACACACTGCTTTTGGTTTTTTGTTTTTTTTTTTTTTTTTTTTTTTTTTTCTGGAGACATCCTTTTTTAATAAGTGATGTTTCAAAAGGAAAAAAAAAAGAGAAAGGTGTCTGGAGTCTGTTTTTTAGACATTTTCTCTGTAGGTTTGTTGTTTGAGAGCGTGTTTGACATTGGCAATACTAGGTGAGGCTGTTAAAATTAGTGCATGGGAAACCCTGAGTGTTAGATAATGTTCAGGTTTAAATATATAGAGATATATTAAAAAAAAGTGGCAAATAAGCACATACAGACACGCACACACAAAAAAACCCCAGTGCTAAGTACTGAAAAAAAAAAAAAGAAGAAAGGCTTAATGCTACTTCTTTTTGCAACTGCTGCTACTAACAGAAGCTTAAAAATCCACATCAAGTTAAATTTCTCAGGCTACCTTGGGAAGGTAAAACAGTCTGATACCCACAACTGACTTCTCAGTCCATTGACAACTGCATATCCAAAAAACACCAAAAAAAAGGAAAAAAAGAGAGAAAAAAAAAAAAAAAAAAAAAGAAAAAAAAAGGAAAAAACCAACATTTTTCTTCGGAGCTGGGGTGCCCGGGGGGATGCTCCCCGGGGAGCTGGTACCCAGCATGCTTACAGAGGGGGAAAAAAGAAGTAAATCGAGCGCACGTCCCGGTTCACAGCCCTACCCATCACTAGTGTCTTTACCTGACTGTGGGGTCCCATCATGCTGTTAGGATTGTGGGGTGGAGGCTGTGCGTGTGGCGAGGGCTGTGACCCAGGCGGTCCCTGTGAGGTCAGACAGTAGAAGGAGGTTATAGATTAGCACATGAAAGCGCAGAAAGAGCTAAAAAAAGGATTCACGGGTGGACCTGTTCAGTCAGGGAGTCAGTTCTCCCGGCTTTAAATCAATTTTTTTTCCTTTTTTATTTAAATTGAGTTTCTATTCATTTGCAGCAGAACAATGAGTAATGATATATGCGAAAAAAATATATATTCAAAATCAGAACATCTGTCAAAATACAGTGGCCACACTGAGAGTAAACGGTCCAGTGGTTCAACCAAGTCTGCAATGATAAACACACAGGGAAACACTTTTCAGGGGCGTGCAATGAGGGAAAAAAATATTCAGGAGAGGACCAGAGAGGCTGGGGGGAAATAGAAAAACTACCCCCAAACCAAAAAAAAAACCCCAAAAACAAATACCAAACAAAAAAAAATTAGAAAAAAAAAATCTAAAAAAAATTTTTAAAATTAAAAATCTTTTTTTCCTCTCTCATCCCCAAGGCTGGGAACACCTCTGGGTTTGTGTTTTGGCCGTGGTTACTGGAGGTGCTGGAGCGAGCGTGGAGGATGAGGAGCATGTCCCAGCCCACGCCTGGGCAGCATCTGGCCGGCACAGCCGGGGCTGCACCGGCACGCTGAAGGGATGCAACATCCTTCCTCCAGGTGGATTCCCTAAGGATGCGAGCAAAATGGCTTGCGAGCAAAGAAAGGATGTCTAGGGGAAAAAAGGAGAGATTAGTTGGTGCAGGTTTAAGACTGCAATGCAGCAGTCGGTGACATTTTGGGCTTGAACGCCCACTTTAATTTTTTTTTTTTTTTTAATTTCCCTTAAAAGCACAAAATGAAAATTTGCTTGGAAAAACCGCGAGCTCGGTGCAAGAAATATACCGGTGCGTGTTAACGTGAGGAAAAGGGGGGGAAAAAGGAAAAAAAAAAAGGTATTTTTTGGAGTCAAAGGAGGTGTAATTGGTAGAGAAAGCACAGGAGCTCTGTCAGTAGGTGATGGGAAGCGACGGCAGGCTCCAGGACCGGCGCCGGAGCAGATGTTCTCTACCTGCCTCGTTACTAATTTCAACAAGTGTTCGCCTTCTAGCTGCTGCCAGCAATGGCATGGTTTGTTACCATGAGCAATTTTCTTAATTAACAGACATTAATTAGCCATTTAGCAATTTTGCAAGCATTTGTTTAGCAGCTTTCCTAAACATGAATACCACTGTGATAATGGTACTGATTAGAGGGTCCCCTAATTAACAGTACAGGGAAGGAAAATTGAAATCACATAAATTAAAAAGGGAGGGGAAGTTAATGAAGGCAGGACATATTTGCACCTGCAAATCTTTTGTACAGCGGAAACTTGAGTGCAATGTAAATAAAGTAAGAGGGTGGGTTTTTTCTTCTTCTTCTTTTTTTTTTTTTTTAATTTTTTTTTATTTGAATGGTTCAGTGGTGAGATGGAGCCAAGCAGATTTAAACCAACAGCCTCCTGCCAGCTTCTCTGCTCCAGCCGCTGAAATCCCACCACTTACACCACCATTCATTTTCCAGGTGCCAAAAGGAACCAGCCCCTGCCCTTAGTTCCTGGCCAGACTCATCTGGATGAGGTCAGAGCACCTGAAGACAACCCTCCCCACTGCCTTCTCCATCCATGTCCCACCAGAGAGGAGAAGACAAACCTCTGAGGTCCAACTGCAGCATCAACCTCCTTTAGCAGAAGTCCTCTCCAGGCATGGAAGTTGACTTATTTTTGCTTCTGAGTTGCTAACTCTGTCTGTGAATGCAAAGTGCAGCAGGGGCAGCAGACACCTCCCACCATCCCCCTGTAAGGTCTGGCCACCCCCAAAGCCTTTCCTACACATCTCAGCTGCAGGATTTGGGGTAGGGAAGATCAGAAGAGGTGAATGAGTGATGAAACCAAGCGGAAGGTAAAAACCAGGGTTGGCAGAGGCCAAACCTTGAGCCCCATCAATGCAAGAGCCAGTGTCCTCCACGATGCCTGCCTTGTGCTGCAGGAGGGGTCATTGCTGTCCAGGGATGATGTCCTTCCCCTCATACCCCACAGCAGGTGAGGGTGGGGGGTGAACAGGTACCAAACACACAGGGGACACAGCCACCTGAAGGCACCCTAGCTGGGCCTGAAGGTAATGCTTGGGAGGCTGCATTTCAAGCTGGAGAGCAAACACTGTTTGACCACTGGAGAAAAAGCATTTACAAGACACAGCAACATTTCCCCTGGAGAAAAATGCCCTGTGGCAGCTGGATCCAGAGAGCATCCGTGTTTGTGCTGCTGAGTGCATCCTCTGGAGTGAGCTCCTGCCCCAACACCAAGGCTGCTCCCGGGATGCTCCAGCTCGGCGCCGCAGCACCCCTGCCCTTGCACTATCCCATGTGGTACAGCTCCCAGAGGACACTTCTGGATGAGGGGATGCCCTGCTTGTGCAAACGTTTTGGCAGGCAGGGAAGAGCTGAAAGCAGCTTTTTTATTTTTCCTTCTTTTCTTGCTTTTTCTGTGCAGCAGCATCCAAAATGTTCGCTCCAAGCCGCGGCCCCCTCGGCAGGGCTGCCCTGCTCTGTCAGAAATTCAGAAATGCAGTCCCTCTGGATACTGTTATCTCCATAAGTACTTGCAGATGTTTCAGGGCTGGGACCCGTGTTAGGCCAGGAACGCCTGCTGGAGTGGTTGGCTTTTTGCACGGGATTGCCTCGCTGCAGAGGGAGCAGCAGATGATCCCGACGGATCGCAGCACTTGAGACAAGTGTTTTGCAGAGACGACATGTGGGCTCCAACCAACAGAACATCCCTTTTTTCTTAAAAAGACCTGTGTTTAGCAGTTATTAACTACTCCTGTTAAAGGAGGAGGCTGAACACATGCTGTCCTGCTTCCTCCACATCCCTCCATCCAGCCCTGGAGTCGCATCCGTGCGGCACAGCTCCTTCTGACACGCCATGCTGGGTGAGCAGGACCTCACTCTCATCTCCACACCAGCACTCTCCCCAGCCACAGAAACCCCATCATCTCTTGAGTTTTTCCTTTTCCCCCCCAAACTGGACACTCTTTGTGCGGGGTTATTCTTCGTCTTCCTGTAGCTGCCTCAAAACACCCCAAAGAAGAACCCAAACAGCTAAAATGGTCTTAGAGGAAACTGTTTCCAAGAGCTGTCAGCGCCCCAACCTCCACTCTGCTTCATTTCTTTCTCCCCTCCACTCCAGGGACTTTAAAAGGCCAACCTGGCCCGCCGGACAGCCGAAGTTTGCTGCCACAGCTGCTTCCTACAGGGCGTTTCCAGGAGATCAGGTTATTTCCACTCTGTCTTTCATGAGCTCGACTCCTCAAACTTCTTGTAAAATATTAAAGATGGAAAATGGCACGAGCGATCATAGCTCTGTGTGTGTCAATTTATGTTTCCAGCGTAATTCACCACAAATGGATCATGTTTTATGGGCTACATACTTTCAGCTAATGGGGGAGTTTTGCTATTTAAAAACATTTTCAAGCACCTCTGGGGGTGGCAGAACAAGGCAGGATGGTACGAGAAGGCAAAGCATCACTGCCACAAGACACTGATGGTTTCGAGTTAGCAACAGGGAGGCACCTTGGGTTTAAAATACCTGCCCCTGCCTGCCAGTTTTGACGTTAGAAAATACTAAAATAAATTAGATGGATATTAATTAAAGCCATGCCTGGGTTTACTGGAGAGGAGATTTATTTCTACTGAAGGAGAGAGATGTTTTGCAAGTTGATAAGAAAAAGAAGAGCTATCTCTGAAGGAGCCTTTAGGAGAGATGCTCCAGTTGCCTTCAAAGAGAAAGACCCCGGTTGACTTCCAGCACGTACTGCTGGGTGAGGACCTTCCCGAGACGGGGCAAAGCGAGGCCAGGAGAGGTTAGACAAGGCAAGGCAAGGCAAAGCAAGGCAAGGCAAAGCAAGGCGAGGTTAGGCAAGGCAAGGCAAGGCAGCAAGGCAAGGCGAGGCGAGGCGGGCCGAGCTCCCCCCGCAGACAGAGAAAGGCAGTCGTGGGCAGGAGCTCTGCCTCGCCTGCAGCTGGGGCTCCCAACTGCAGAAGCCTGGTTTTAAGGAATATGTTTAACACAAGCTCTTCAGGAAACAAACCCGTGTCAGCCAGAGCCAAGAACAGTCACCTCCATCTGGCTGGAGCACCCGAGAGAAAGTTGACTGCAAATCCCACCATATGCTCCAGACGCTCGGTACAAAAGCCTCGGGCATCCTACTAAACTTCCAGAAAAAAAACTTTCTCTGATGCTTGCTTTTCCTTTCCTGCAGCTTGTAGGCTACCTTCCTTCAAACCTCGCCTGGTGCAGGCTGGCACCAAGTTCTACCCCAGGATTTTGGGAAGAGCTGCCTGCTTTTGTGGCTCTCGTGCTGCCTCATTGGAACTGGCTGGCTGGAGCTGGTGGCACTCCCGAGCAGTGGGAAAACCCACTGAGACACCAGGACAGCAGGGGGAAAATGGTGGCATCCAAGGAGGGAGCAGGACAACATGGACCCCTTCCTATTGTCCCTGCCTTCACCATCCTCACCCCACGGGATGCCTCACCCCAAGGGGGAAGTCTCCAGGACGCAGGGAGGAGAGGTGGGGAGGGCAGGGAATGTCGTGGGGGGAGCCCCCCAGGCTCTGGAGCCCCCGTCCTCCCCAGCTCTCCAGGTCTGCCTGCATTAGGGGGCAGTGTGGGAACACGGAGCAGCCGGCGCTTTGTTTTGGTGCATCTCGGCGCCGAGCCGCTGATGCATAGCTAACGCAGCGCCGACATTGATTTATGGTCAACTTTCCATTTCATCAGCGCGGGGTTCGGGGCGGCGCGGGGACTCGGGCACGGCTGGGGGGGCTGCTGACTCGGCCCCCCCCGGTTTGTTTAGTGGTGTAAAGGTGTGGTATTAATTGCTTTCAATTTTTTTGTTTTCCTTCCTGTATTTCCCTGGCATCCCCCCCATCCCTCTTGCGAGGGATCTGCACCCCGGCATCAATCCAGCTTTCAAAACAAAAGCAGGAACGCCTCTGATGACCTTTAGGAGGATGAGCAGAGGGTTTGTTTGCTCATCTCAACGGGACAAAGAGAGAGATTTAAATAAAAGCATCTACCCATGCTGGCCGTCAACCCAGCCAACCTTTTGTCCGGAGAGCAGACGATGCTGTGCTGCTGGCAGGCACCATGAAATGCCCCAGCAACCCAAGAGTGCCATGGGCCTCTCCTCTCCCATCATTTTGGGAGATTCTGCAGGCTGCACTTCCCTTGGCCCCTGACCTGAAGGGCACTGCTGAGCCCTGGCACTGGGAAGGGAATCTCACTGCAAGGCAGCGGCTGTGGATGGGCGCTGCAGCCTGGAGTCCTCCTTCCCTCTCCCTTTCCTGGAGCACTCCTTCTCCTCCAAGCTCACTCATATGTGTTTGGGCTACAGAGTCCCAGGAATGGTTCATGTAATTTTTTCCCTTTGCCTGTGGTGGACATCCTCACATGCAGAGCTGGGGGGGTTCATGCACCCCCAGGGTGGCATTGTGGAGTTTCTGCTACCTGAGCTTTGCTGGTGACTAATTCCTCAGCTCCCTGTGTGACTCCCCACCATGCCTGGACATGATCAGGCTCTCTAAAATCCTCTCAAAACCTATCTGCCCATGCCTGCTGCCCTTCGGGATATCCCTTGCAGGTCCCTGGTGGAGAAGAGCAAGATGCTGAAAACCCCTAAGCCCTCTCCACTGCTTTCCTGGCATGAGGATGGCACTGGCTGAGGTGGCACCACCTCACTCACTCCCAGGGCTGGCACACCAAGGGTTGGGGAGAAGTCCTTTCTATCTTCTGTGACCTTTTTGTTTTTGCCCTCTGAATTTAGGCACTTTAATCTCCTACAGATAGGAAATTACCCCCGAGCTGTGACTGGCTCGGCACTGAGCCTCCAGCCCATCTCTGCAAGAGCTGCTCTCCAGCATCTCCTGAGGCTGGAATGAGCTCCAGCACCCGCAATAAATCAGACAGGCTTTCATGGAGGCGATGTTCAGACTGTGTTAAAAGGTGGGATTTCTTTTCTGCTTTCCATCCCGAGGGCTGGGAGGAGAAACCAGATGTTGGAGGGCTTTCAGGAAAGGCAGGCTCTTGAGATGTCACATGTGAGCCATATGCACCGGCACCCATCCTCTCCTCCCTCTGGCAGTGCTGGGGATGGGCAGCATAACCTGTCCTGGTGTTATTACATTGTCTGGGGCTTCAGGATCCACTCCTGCTTCTGAGCCACCCCCTACCCAAGTGGCTCCTGGGCCAGCTGCATGGGTGGCAGGGAGCTAAGATGGGCTGTTTGCTCCTGAATCAGACCCTCAGTGCAAGAGTGCTACAGGAGGGCAGAAAGGAAAGAAAGGGGGACAGCTTGGAGGCTGTCAACGGGAAGAGTCGAGACGGCAGCATGAACAGTAAAAGTCTGGAGAGATGTGACTCCTCTTCCTCACCTTTCCCACTCTGGGAAAGCCAACCCATACTCTCGATGCCTTGCCCTGAATTCATGCCAGTTTTGCAGCCCTCGCAGCTCGGCGTGAAGCAGAAGCCCCAAAGGACAGTCAGCTTCACCGTGGGGCGAGATCAGGACGTTTTGGAGACACATTTGTTGGAAGCAGCAGCTTGGCACTGGGATTGCTGGCAGCAGCTATGACCTGCGAGATTGCATCTCCGCCGTTGGCTTCAGCCCCTGCTGCCGAGCACTGCTGCAAGGTTCGCCTGTTTTAGGGTTCCCGATCGATATCGGATATTCTTACTTTGTCAGGAGCATGTTCAGGAAATGGGATCTCTCTTTCTCTCTCTCAAAAAAAGACAGGACCCTCCTTCCCCCTTCCCACACAAATGCAATCGCCGATATCGGGCTCAGATATCGCCACAATAAATCACAAGCTCCTTATCGAGCTTGCCTGTCTGCTGCTCGAGAAGTTCTCCCATATACAAATCACAAGCCCAGATTAAAAAAAGCCCAGCTTGCCAAAACAAATATTCCTTTCAACTCTTATCCCATTTTTTACACGAACAAGTGTTTCATCCTCAAGCGGGAGGATTTTAAAGCACTGAAAGCTTATGTTGCTGCAAACCAGTGCAGCTCACCCCGGGCAAAGAGATTCCTGAGGAAAAACCCTCAAGGTTCAAGGTTTGAAAACTCCTTTTCTTTGTGCTTGTTGATAGCCTGTCTGTCAGCATCACTCCAAGCACGTTACCCCCTCCTCTGTCAGAGCTTGCTGTGGGATAAGGAAGGAGTGAGGGGACTTTGGGGACGTTGCTGGGTATTTGCTTACAAGGTGCCTCCACGGCATTCAGGGATTTGGCTGGAGCCCACTCCCGCCTGCAGCCGCAGCCAGGGTTTGTTAATGCATTCAGTGATTGCATTTGGAAAAAATCAAGTGGTTAACCAGAGGAGGGGGAAAAAGTTTCAGGAATCAAAATCCAGAATGTTTTCAATTACACACGTCTGTTAGGACTGGAGAACAAATACAATCCCAACCCAAACACAAACCAAGCAGCTTTGGAAAAAAAACATTGGTTGTAAATACACAGTAACCTCTTCGAGCAAGAAAGGAATTTGCTTTAAGGCCACAAAAGATAGAAAGCAAACATGGAAGGACAGCAGAACACAAGTTATTCCTAGACAGGTCAGCTGTGCAGGCATGCTGCTTCCCTAGCATCCTCTTGGGGGAAAAAACAAAACAAAACAAAACACAGGCAGGACAGCGCTGACACCCACAGCGAAAGCAAACACGTGCGCGGTGTGGAGGGAAGGGAGCCCCGGGAGGAGCCACAGCCTACCTGGAAGAACCCGGGCGGGATGGGGCCCCCGGGCATCCCGTCATTCGGGGGAATGTTTCCAAGCACGGGACTCGGGGCAGCAGCTGCGCTCTGCGGGGAACAAAACCAGGGCAAACATGGTCAGAGTTATGACAAAAGCGCGTTAAAAATGCCAGCCTCTCCTGGCACGTCCCACTGAGTCAATCTGCCTTGTATCCCCAGAGCCCTGAGCATCTTCCCCTGTGCAGGAACTGGTGGAGGATGCTCACAGCTGGAGGGACACCGGCCTCTGTGACTCACCCACGGAGGAGATGGCCACACAGAACCTGGAGATAATTCTGAGGTTTGTGTAGTCATTTACCCAGGCACTGAGTCTTGCTAATCCACCAAAGAGCCACATCCAATGTGTAATTTTAGGCAGAAGTTGTTTGAAAGCTTTAAAATGCTTCTCCTCCCACCTCCCCACCATGTTTGCTGGTTTAGCCCTGTCCTTTGAAAATTATGCTTCCCTGACCTCACCAGCATGCCAAGGCTTTATTATGAATTTCCAAATTCATTTCATTCAACCTGTGGAGTCACATTCGCCTTTGTGCCTCCCTAGAATGAGCCATGAGCACAGCTCCAGCCCCAAAAAGAGGGACGGGGTCAGACGTGGGGTACCTGAACACCCCACTCACTCCTGTCAGCATCCCTATTTGTATTATTCACTTCTGGGAAAGCACCAGCGTGATGGGAAGTTCCTACTCTGAAGGAAAATGTAAGAAAAAGGTCTTTCTCTAAAAGCCACTGCTGGTGACACATCCCTGTGAGATTAGGAGCAGTACCTGTGCCACCCAAGGGCACCCCAGTTTGCCCAACACCAAGTGACCCCCATTCCAGTTACAGGGCAGTTACAAAGGCACCTCAGCGGTGTTAATTGGATTTGGATCGCTGAACTACTCCCTCCACCAATTTTTATGATGCACGTACCCACCTAAAACCATAGTGGAAAAATTTTCCACTGAGGAAATCCCATGAACAGATGGGGTACATGTGAGCCTGCTCAGGCTTGCTTTCACCCAACAAACCCCACGTCCCAACAGCAGCCGAGCCAGCCCCGGCTCCCGACCGCATCCGATGCAGCAACAACCACAAGATGTGAGCAGAGGGGGAAGCCAGGCTGTCAGGGCAGCCTGGAAAATTAAGGATTATCACTAAGGACTAAGCACTGCCAAGATAGGATCCCCATGTTTGGTCGGCAATCCTGCTATTCCTGACCAGAAAGCCTTGCAGAGGCAGGGGAGCACAGACTAATCGTTGCCTTGTGCCTTCCCAGGGCAGCCCGTGTGCCCCTCACCGTGCTCTCCAGCAGGATGTGGGATGAAGGCCAGCACCACGCCGGATGAGGGGTTGGTTTTCCCACCCCAGCACCTCAGAGCTGCAAGTGTCACAGACAACAGTGGAGGCTGATTCCCCAGTAAGAGCCTCCCTTCATGAAATAACCAACTCCCCCTGAGGCTACAGGGTCCTACATCCCACACCACACTCCCACCCTTGCCCCTGAACAAGGCATCCCAAACAGCCTTCCCCCCATCAGCAGCAAAGGCCAGATCTGAGTGTTTTTACAGTTAATAAAAAAAAAAAGTCCTGGCAGGAAAAATAAGCCTGCCCATTCCAGGCTCTTTTTATACATCAGACGGCAGCAAAAATAGATGGGAGAGGGAGTGAACCCACTTCTCCCCCTCCCTCCATCCCCCCAAGTGGGTCAGCTATAAAAGTAAAACCAAATCTTAATCCAAGGCCATGAACATATTGCAGTTTCTCTGCAAAGCAGATGACGGTTCTTAATGCAAAAATATATAAGACTGAGCCCCAAACTGCAGCGAGCCCATTTGGAATTTCCTTTATTAAACCCTCTATCACGCAAAACGCTTCTCTCCCAAGGCGGCAAGCGCTGCAATAAAGCTGCCAAGGTGATATTTTATGGTTTCAAGAGATTTCCAGCACACTATAATCCTTTGCTTGGGGAATCTCCCAAAGCGAAATGGATCCCAAAGTGGTGGGAAGTAAGATGCCCAATGGATTTGGGCATCTGGGGGGAAAGGACGCTGCCCTTCTCCTCCCCTCTGCAACAGGGAGCAGAGGGAGAAGGGCAGAGGAGCCAAAGAAAATCTTGAAGCAAATGCCCATTTTTCCACAAAACCACAGAGTATTTTTCCGTGTTAAACACCCTGAAACCTCACCTATGCCTTCGCGGCGTAAACGGGGATTTAAAGTTCCTCGCACATGTGGCGCTTGGCAGAACTTGGTAATTAAAAACCCGCAAGTACCCTGAGCATATTGTAGGATGAGAGCCAAATTGGTCAGCCCTTGATGAATGATTTACAAGGCTGCGAAGTGACATTTTATTTCTTTTTTTATTCCCCTCCCCATCACCGCTGCTAAGGTAAACACTGAGGCACCTTTAGCCCTGGTGAAGCGATGGGAGCGCAGCTGTGGCTGGAGCAGCTCTGTAGAGCACTTGGGCATGCCAGAAATGAAAGAAGAAAGGCAAAAAAAAGACAGCAGGAACAACTTTTCCAAACCTTAAGGGTGAGCACCCAAACCCTAAGGGTCACAGCGCACACAGCCAAGGGCTTTCCAGCACCCATTTCTGGGATTTTTTTGGCCACCTAGCTCCTCCCACATGGTTTATTTCCAACATTTTGTCCCAGAAACTCTTTTCAGGGACTCTTGGTTGCAGTTTGCTTTCCAAAGCTCTTTCCTTAGGTGAACATCTAAAACCCATCGAATCTCCCTGGTGAAGGTACAGACAATGTGCAGTTGCCATGGAAGCTGGCAGAAAATGGGCATGGAACTGCTGTGCCACCACATCCAAGCTGGAGCTGAACCAGAAGCACACCAGCCACACGAAGGTCCCCATTGGTGTGTGACACCCCGAATTTCCTTCCACTGAAACACATGGAAACCACTGCCAGAAAAGAGCCAGGACAGCTCTGGCAATGCTGGCATGCCAGCTCATTTGCCTTTTGTAAGATGGCAAATTTCCCCCACGTTGGAAATCAATATATATGTGTTCCTGGGGCGCACACGCATAGCTATATACACAAACACACATATGTATTTTTAATTCCCTGCCACATACGTTGGTATTTTTCCTCTTTTTTTTTGGTGGAAGCCAGTGGAATGATGACAATCTGGATCACCGTGTTTCGCTTCCAAACCGAAGCTCTCAGTTAACACACCGGCCTGGTACGCCAGCAGATGCCGTCTAAGCCTTTAAATCGCACACTAATTGCACTAATTGAGCTAACAGTCTCTGTTTCGTCTCCCTACCCTGAGTCAACCAGCATCTTCTGGTACTGCTGTAGAGATCCAAGCTGTTGACTGTAGTGTTATTTTGTCAGCCATTAAACGATTCATCAGAGTCATTAATTGATTTATTACCGCTGCCTGCGAGTATAGCTTTGCAAATAAAGAAGGATGGAGGTCAGGAGGCAATGGAAATCGGACAAAACAGCACAGCCAGGAGCTGGGCACTTGAATTATCGATAGGAGCCCACTTGCACAGGACCACTGGCATCAGGTTATGGAGGGGAAAAAAGGAAAAGATGTGCTGTCTGGCTGTGCAACAAAGCTGGTTAGGGTCTTCAGCTACAATCTACGCAGGATGTAAAAGGGCTGTTAAAACCATCTTGTTTTCTTAACCCAATCCTTCAGGATAAACTGGGTTATTCTGCTGAATTAACTGTGCTGAAGAGCAGCAGGGAAGAAGCACTGGCGTGGCTGCCCCACGCCGCTCCCCAGCCTCTGGCGCATCCCCACCAGCACTTCGGTGTCACCCAAATTCACCTTCCCAGGCCGGCTGAGCCGGGAACACAACTCACCTCCGCTGCCCCCCAGCCCTGGGAGGAGCTGCGGTCCAGTGCTTTTATTTATTTACTTTCTTTACTGCAGGGCTCAGGTCTCTGCTGGGCGTGAGGTTTTGCAGCGAGCAGGGTGCGGCGAGCTGCTTCCTGCCCCCCGCCCTGCCGCACGCTCAGCCCCGGAGCAGCCGTGAGGCACCGCCGAGGCCCCGCCAGGGTTTGGGGGCTGAATTTAGAAACCGGAGCAGGTGGGTTGAAACTACTGTCACTGCCAGAGTGTGTTTGCTCCTAGGTACCTGGCTAAATAAAGGGCAGCACCCCTACAAGAGAGGGCTTGGGAAGACAAGGAGCTTTCTGGATGTGTTGTCCACACACGAGGCTGCTGCAAGGGATTCTTCCTCCTCATCCCCATTTGTGGACCTTGAAGAGCAGCCTGAAGGTGGGTTAAGGCACTGCACCCCTTTCTGCAAGGCTCTCAGTGTCATAATGGTGACAGGGCACCAGCCAAGCCCCAGCTCACCACCCACCCAAACCTGCCATGCTTCACCAACACCAGCAGTGGTTCCTATTAACCATCTATGAAAAACAGGCTCCAGCTGGTGGTAGTAACTCTGCCATTAAATGGAAGCTGGTGTCCTCACTGCACACTCCAGGCGAGCAGCTTGCCCAAACATCCCATGCTGGCGTTCACCAAAGACTTTTTTTTAATAAAAATAACATGCCAGGAGTGGTAGGGAGCAGAGAGGATGCTCCATGCGTGGGAAGCACGACCAGCACTGCCTGCTTGGCCAGGCACAGCCCCCATCAACCCAGCAGTGAGATGGGGAGAGCAAAATATCTTCATAGCACAGACCTCAAACCAAACTACGGATGGCTGGGTATTTCCTTTTTGAGTTCCAGCTCTTTTTGCCCTCTCTCCCCTCCAGAAGACAGGACCAGAGGATTTTGGTTGCATCTCACACCTTGCAGCCACCGTGGGAGCAGCACAAGACTTGAGGGCAGCTGCCTCTGGTAGGAGCACGCGGGGGTGCTCAGGACATACTGGTGATCTGGTCTCTATCTGTCTCCTTTGATTTTATTTTTTTGCCTAGAGCACAGGCTTTGCAGCCTAAAGAAGAAACCAGCGTGCGGGTCAGGACTTAAGCAGGCTGCGTAAACAGGTAATACGGAATTTAATTGGACTCCAGTTAAGCCTTTTCATCTCGTTAAAGCTGCCTTCATCTTATACAGCCAGGTTTAAAATTTAATAATAGAACCCTCCCACAC